TTTAATGTTTGGCTTTTTTCTAAAACAAAGTGATCCAACAAGTTCTTGTTTGATAAATAAATTTCCAAATGACTTTGGGGTGGCTAAAATCGTTTTTCATGCCTTTGTAACATATCAAGAAAATAAAAAAAAAATCCCATGTAGTTCAGTTATGTCAGGGTCACCTTTAAATAAGCATTTTTGCACCTCAACTACTATGATATGCATGATTATTGCGATTCAAATACCTAAAAGCAAAGATTTTTTACGTTAGTCAGCTACACGCTAATTAGCAGTGGTTTTTTGTTTCAATCGCAGATATTTGGACAAAAAGATGAATGGGAAGGGTGTTATTCATACATTCATTTTGTAATCTGTAATAAAACAATAGATTTCAAAAAAACTAATACTGCATATTATGCACATATGTAAATGACACCCCCCTCCCCCCAATGATCGTGTTCTTGCAACGTGCATGGTGGATCGATGCCATGAAATTTTACAATTTTTCATTAGAATGGGCAAGGTATTAAATTGGATAACGAACAAATTCGGGAATTGATATTGTGTTACATTTTTTTATACTTTTCAAGATTTAAATGAGCCTGCTTACATCTGTGTTCGGTTGTAAAAATACTTTCCATTTCGGCAAAAGCTAGCAACTTGCTTTATCATTTGCTCTTTTCTTAGGTTTGTATTTCACTTTTATTGATGAATTATTCCTATTTGTTTAAGCATACTCAGTGCTGGACGTGAATGTTATACATAATAGTTGTGGGACGTGACGTCAAAGGAGAAATTCTCGGCATTCCCTCAATATTCAATCGCTCAAACGGTTTTCAAAAGCATAAATGTGTAAATTGAGGACATATAGTTTTTCCTTCATCATTGTTCTTAGTTTATGTATTTTTTTCACGAGTTTTTTAAGTGTTTATGTTAACGGTCAATGTTTAGTTTATTTTAGTTGCCTACCTTGGTTAATTAATAAACCGATAAGACTAAACGTCATACAAACGTCCAGCGAGTTTGACGGGCGAGATTGATCGATGAATGTGAGACAAATTCTTATTTCATTAATAATAAAACCGTAGTTGTAGGCGGCCTTTGGTTTAACTGACAAGAGTAAAGTAATAAACAATTTATAAACGTCTTGTAAGACTTGTATCACATTTTGAATCGTAATCTGTATTTATTATGAACATTTCATGTCTTTTCGGGAGTTTCTTTACATCATATCTTGTCGAAAATGAAGAAAGTCCACTAAAGCGCCGTAGGCCAGCGACTGGGACAGAATAAGCCTTCATAACGCTATCTTTTTGGCACCAGAATGGTTTTAGGAAGTAAACAAATTTGCTATTTGTAATAAATATACTAAAATTATAATTCTGGAGTTTTCCCGCCTAGTTGCATAGTGATTATATAGAAAAACTGGTTTTTCTTGTTTACCCCATTTAATTTCCAGCTTATTCGGCCGATATTGAACGCTACACTAAACGGTGTTCGTGCAACGCCAGTTTATCCATCATTTAACTATCCGCTAGATATAGAATTATACGGTTTATAGCGGTTAAAAATCGTTTGGCTCAAATGCCTTTCGTTCGACTGGCCCCATGTCTCTATATCCATTAAGAATATAAAAGATACAATATATAGGTTCAAAACTGCATTCAAGGTTGCAGAAATTTAAAAAAAGGGGGGGAGGAGTGGTTATCTTTTCGGATAAAGCACGTTTTAGTTTTGTGAAGGTGCTAAGCAACATAATCAGGAGCAAAACAATGTCACTACGTAAGCTTGTAATTTGCTGATTCTTCTTCGTTTAACAATTGCTTGAACTGTTTATGTTCTTTTGTCTAAAGATCAAGAAATTTTATCAAACAAAGCCTTAGAAAACATTTTGAGCAAGCTGTCAGCTTTATTTTGGAAGGGTGAGGCATTTTATTTCTTTGTTTTTTTTTCTAGTATAAACAACCGATTTTTAAAAAAATGTACTGGCCATGGAGTTTGTAACAAGTATCGAATTTGCGCCCATACTGCATACAATGTTTAGAGATTTGTGAGGTGCCAACAAGAGCACATGGCTGCCACAAACAATATCAGTAACACTACAACAATAATTTTGCGTTTTATTTCTGCTTGACTTTCATGTGATGTTAAAAATTAATAATGGAGTATGATCATATTTAATTATTAATTTAATATCTAACCATTATTATATGATTAATAAAATAATTATTAATACAAGTAAAAAAAAGCAAGCACGAGTTTAGTGTTGTAGAGTTATAAGTAGTCTTAATGCATTGTATATGTTTTAGTTCACCTCTAAAGTATAAAATTCTTTCTTGCTCTTGCTTGTTTATCTGTTTTGTACAGCGCACATATTCGCTTGCTCTTAGATCTTTCAACTGTTTGCTAGTATACATAAAAATATGCTTTTTTGTCATCCGTCGGTTTTTCGAAAAGCAAAATCATTAGGGAAGCAACGTCTTATAAATCCCGCTTAATCTATTCTTAAAGTCATATTTTACGAATGTAATTACTAATGTTGGACAGAAGCGCTGAAAAAGCAATTTTTATTAACATTTAATGTAAAGTAGGCAAAAATAACAAAATCATAATTTTATACGTAACACTCATTATTTAATATTTAATGAGAAACTAAGACAACAACACCAACTTGCATCTCAGTTCTAATCTATTATACATATTCTAATTATACATATTCATCGTTCTAATAATGTACATCGCTCTAATATATAACCTCGTTGGATGAGCGTTGTAAGCGTGAAACTTAATGTAGCTGATGGTTTCATGATATTATTTATTTTTCTTTCATAAATTCGTATTTTTCTATTTGCAAAAAAGTTATTGAGCACTCTTTTAAAATGCATACTTTTAATTTGATTTTTTATATTTATAAATTATTGTATACAGCCTTCGACAGAAACAATAAATGCGATTTCTTAAGCGGAAATTATTGCTGACTTATGTCAATTTGAAAAGGGAGGATAAGGCTGCATTTGTAAAATTCCATTTACTATAAGCTCATAATAGTATGCAACCAGTATTGTTTTGTATAGAATCTGTATAGTTTGCTTAGGGATTTTATATTGTTAAATAAATCGATGATTTTAGCTTTATATTTAAATTGATAGTTGCGTAAAAAAAATTTCTTTTTAATTTTCAGTTTTTCTTTAAAGAATAAACCCATTTTGTATACTTGCTACATTGGAAAATCTTATAACATCACGTCACCATGCTAAAAAGTGTAAAACGTTGTTGGTGCGGAGCTTTAGCTACGTTTGTTTTCGTGTTTATTTGCATTTCCTGCATTTCTAAAAAAGTGGACCTTGTTTACGATTTAAAAGATGCTATGGTTCATCATTTTTATCATATATTCTGTAATAACAGTGTCAAATTTGACAACAAATTTGATTTTGCTACACAGTGGTTGAGGATTCATAGAGCTCGCACAGATTGGCCAACTTTATTAAAACCATGCAAAAATAAAATAAAATGGGACCCAAAGAATTACAGTTGGTGGGAACAATACCGAAGCTCAGGTAAAACCAGCTCAATCAGCTTGAACAATATTCAGCCTTCCGAAAATTTTTCCAGAATATTAATTCATACTAAGACTGTAAGTGGTGAGCCAAAGACGTTTGGAGGAGATTTCTGGACTGTGTACTTTAAAGGTCCTTCGACTGTTGCAGCAACGGTTTTTGATCATGAAAATGGAACATATGAAGCTGTTGCTCTGCTTATGGAATTTGGAAACTATACAATACATGCGTTTCTTGAATATACTCTATGTGATGGGTTGAAAGATCCACCAAGTGACTGGTTCAAATTTGGTAAGTTGAAAATAACATAGAGTATAGCTAATTTTTATAATAATTTTAAATAACGATAAAAATACTGTAATCATATAAAAAACTGTCAACATTTTGTTGCAGATAGACCACTCATAAAAAAGAATTTGCTCTTAACTTGTAGGCAGTATAATTTACATAGTGAATGATAGCATAATGCTATAACCAACAAGCAGTAACGACCTTATCTAACAACATTTGAGAAATTTACCTTCCACTCCTCTTCTTTGTAAACGATACAAGTCTAGTCAAAAGCAGAGAGCCTTATATGCTACAAGTCCCGGGGTTGTGACCGGTATAGCAGAGATAAAAAGTGAAAGGCTTATCAAAGATTAATCAACGGAATATTCCTGCTCATTTTTGTTTGGAAGCACTCTGCACAGCTCATTTGTACAAAGCTCGAATTCCATATTAAATAAACAGTAACATAATCCGGTGTTAATGTTAGACATTACATCATTGCCCTTTAGCGAATACATCCGCATGCTTCTAAAGAAAAATGAGCAGGAATATTCCGTTGATTAATCTATGATAAACCTTTTACCTTTTAACTCTGCTATACCGGTCACAAGCCCGGGACAAGTAGCATGTAAGACTCTATGCTTTTGAGTAGACTTGTATCGTTTACAAGGAAGAGGAGTGGAAGGTTAATTTCTCAAATGTTGTTAGATAAGTTTATTATTGTTTGTTGTTGGTGTTAGCATTAAGCTATCATTCTTTTTGTTTAATAACATTTTATTTGACACGTTTATCTAACCTTGTTATTTACATAGTATTTGGAATTGTTTCATGTTTCAGGTTTAGTTTCTATCTAGAATAATTTAGTTAATGTCAGTCTTTACCATATCTATTACATAGATGTTTAGGCATTTCGATGGAAAGAAAAAGAAAACCTCCGTTATTGACATTGGTTACTAAATAACCGCATTTTCTGAAAGTTATCTCTCTTCGCTCTAAAATATATATTTTAAAAGTTAGCAAAACACCGAAAAAATATTTCATTCATTACAAAATAAACAAATTTTGAACAATAATAACAATTAAATAAATAAAGACCTATGATCATCATACAGTATAATGATTTAATTTGTAATGACCAGGTAGTGCTCAAGGCAATGGTCAAGGGAACACACTGGGAGTTATAGAGGAATATCGACAAGAGAGCTTACTGGCCGCAGAAAACATAACCTTTGAAGTCATCAAAAAAGGTCTGATTTAAGTGTTTGTATTTATCGTTTCTATAACTTACACAAACATATTATTTTTGTACAGATTGTATTGTTTCAACTGAGATGCGTTGTTTCTACGTAAATAAAGCAGTAGTAAAAATAACGTCCAAAATGTTGGATATTAGTAGTTAACATTGGCTTTTGAAATACGGTAATTGTGGGCGTTAACATTCATATATGGTTGATATGCCTTATTAAATTTCTCTGAAATCAACTGTTTTCTACCAATTATAACATGTACATAAAAATAAGAGCCCTCCTTACCATCATCAAGCGTTCGGGAAGAGTGTTCGCCAGCATTTTCTTTGTAGTCTACAATATAAAATTGAAAAATGAAAAGAAGTATGAAGTATATGATACTTAGTACTTTTTTGCATAGCTTATAGCATAATGACAAAAGATGATTTTGACTAAAACAAAAAGCGTTTGAGCACATTATTTTATTGCACTTAGTTTATCACGTTTTTACAAACATGAGCAGGGGCAAAATTAGAACGCTAATTGGGCGGGATGATTACGAAAAGATTATTTATAAAGTTGCATTATATTCTCCAATTACATGAACAAAATTAAGAAATATTTGTTCTTAAAGATGCCCTATCAGAACTCACAGTGCAAATAGTGCTTGTGTAGAAACTTTAAAAATAAAATACTAATAGATCAAAATTAATGGCTTAGAACATTTGGTAAAAAATAAGCACTGCTATTTGGATGATTATTGTAACTGTAAAATTAAAAAGTACTTTGACTGTACTTCCGTGTCTAACACAAGTCAATATCAACTTATAGAAATCTCAAGTACAAAATTTGGAGTTTTTATGCTATTTTAGACTTTACATTTAATGATGACGCAACTTCAGGAAGTGTGCATCAACAAGACATAATAGAGTATGGCGAAGTTCCGCCATTTAAATTGCATATTGCATTCATGATTTATCCACAGGCGTTAAATCGATGTCATGACGTGTTTAACAAAAACATCAATAAAGAAAACGTTGATAAGAAATTTTTAAGAAAAGCAAAAGAAGTCTTTGTGCAACTGCCTTGACTTTTTAAACTTACATACACTAACTGTTAATTTTAAATCTGCATCTGAAATTGTCTTCTTAACTCAGATCTAAAAAAATGCAGGTTGATTATAAGGAAATCCTAAACACGATGAATGTGATTGTTAAGGTATGCTAAAGACATAAGTATTAATTTCTTAACTTTTTTGTATAATTGTGCTATTCTATTACTAAAGTTGTATAAGCTGTCGGTTTACTTCTAAAAGCAACTAATTAACAAAAAAGCATTATTTTTGTTTTTTTTTTAATAAAATTTGTGTCAAATTATTTTTTATTATTTTTGCAAAATAGAATATTTTTCCATGTTGAAATTTTTAATAATTCGAGTTTTAGTCACAACTGCCAAATTTTTTGTGTCAAAAATTTCAAAAAAATATTTAAAGTGAATTTCTACCCAAAAAAATAATTATGCACGTAATCGGTAATATTGCTGATGATTATTCTAATTTTCCATCTTGGCCCCAGTCATTCTGCATGGTATTTTTTTGCAGAGAAACAAGCTAACATTACGATGTCAGTCAATTGTGAGACTACATGTCAGTGCCTTGCAAATGGGCATGGAAGATGGACCAACAACTCATGGCAACCATTTTACCATGGTACGTATATGGTTAAAGACAATTTTCATAATAAGACTTCCACAAAAGTTTAAGGTTTCTATTTCATGTCTAAAAAATTAAACTTCTCTCAAAAATAACAGTAAATCAGTAATAACAAATAACGAAAGTAGCTTCTGTTTGACATAACTCAAAACAATTCCTAGAAATTTATTTATTATTTACGAAGCAGCATGTTATATTTAACTGGATAATTTAACTGGAATCTTTACTACACTGTGTGTATGAAAATAGATGTTGATTAATTTAACTGGAATAAATATTTAACTGGTATTAAAACACGACAGCAATATGAAACTTAAGCTTTCAAGTGAACATTGGCAGAATTCCACGTAAAGAGTATTACTTCCTTCTTCTTAACCTTTTTAAAAGTTTGTGAGTTTCGAATATTTCAAGTAAAGTCTAAAACATGAACGCAATTGAATGTAGCTGCTGAAAAACTGAAAATTAGAGAAATGTTGCAGGACCATAAGCAATGTCACACGATTATTCATTTATAAACCCGATTGCCTTAGATCTACTTTCTTTTTTTTTGTGCTTACATGTATACCGTACTGAAAATTTTGTCGTTTTTGTTTTTCTTCTCAATTTTGTTACTGTTACGTTTTGCTAATGGAGTTTAAATTATTAAAAAGTACAAAGTTTGGAAAAGTAGCAGTAATTTCATTGCATATCAATTGTAAAGTTATTAAGGACTTTAACTTAATACAAAATCTTTGAACCAGCTTTGACCTACGTCCATATATCATGCACGCATGCTGTCTCATAAGCCAGAAAGTCATCTCTCACCTGGTGTTCACCATCGACACTAATTTATATGCTTTTTGTTTCAATATCCTAGTACAAAAAGGTGGTTTTACATGATATACACTCGGAGTCTTTACTATGCAGTGTGTATAAAAATAGATATTTAGAAATTGGGCAGCTACAACATGGTGATAAAAAAATACACACTTGAGACTTTAAGGTAAATAATAACATGGTTTCTTGTTTTCTTTTGTCGTTACAGAGATATTAATTGACGTAGTTTCCTCATTTATAGGGTTGAGGGATAATTGATTGTAGACATCCTACTTCAAGATTTTTATTAGAGAAGTTTATAAACTAAATATCACTTTTTAATATTATAAAGTACACTTCGTTTTTTCACATTTTATCCTCGTTGCCTGTAGAAATTGCTTCATCTCTTTCTGGACTTTTCCAAGACTGAATCATTTTTAATCCCAGTGAATGGGAAAAAGGTTAAATAGCAAGATGTCTTCGAGAGGTCGATGGAAAATTAGCAAGTTAAAACTCCTCTTGTTTTAATGTTAAATCGTCAAGACTTGAGACACAAATAAGTAAATGTTTAACCCTTATGTTCAAAATTGCCCAACTTTTAAAAAAAGGCTTAGCTCATTTCTGCTTAACAATTCATGGCGTTGAGTGGTTACAGAAGTAGTCTTTCCCTCTCGTCGGCAACTTGCTTGGCACAAACTTACAAAAACTGGTGATCACGCACCAACTACTTTGACAATATGTATTTAAAAGCAAATTCATATACACAAAGTTTTAATCTAACTTAATAACAGAATTAACATTTAAATAGCTGAAGAAAGTTCATTAATCCATTTTCTGACCATAAAGAATAAAGTCATTAAACAGCATCTATGGTTTGAATTTGTGAACTCAAAATTTCATGAAAATATATAGTTAACAGGAATTCCTAAAGCATTCATTATTTACTTCGCAACCATGTCCATTACAAATTAAATACATGCTTTCACGGACGTTGAATTTTCCCTCAAGCCTCTAAAGTTTTAATAAAGTTAACTCCAACAAAATTAAATTAACAAAAAAATCTTTTTATTTAGGAAATTTAAACATTAATTCAGTCAATGCAAAATCACGACCAAGAAAAAAAAGAATGGGACATTTATGGATATATGGAGACTCATCAGCCTTCCACTTTTGGAACAGCATTTCAAAAAGCAGATTGTGTAAAGAAGTGTTTCAATTTTGCAATCTTAGTTATAACTGGATATATCCCTACACACAAGCCTCAATCAGGAAAAAAGATGATTTAGACTTTCGTCCACAAATCGTTATTGATCTTATAAAACAAGTTCTTTGCAAGGATGAAATGATGGGTAGTGAGAATGTGCTTGTTTTAAACTTTGGACTTCATTACGCACGTTCTGTTAGTTTTGAAATGTTTAAAAAATTAGTCCAAGACGTGATTGTTATGTTACATGACCACAAACAGCAGCACAACAATAGTGCACGAGTAATATGGAAAACAACGACAGCAGCCAGAAAGGAAAAACAGAAACGTTATTTAAATCATAGAAGATTTCTTACAGAGCAGGTAATGATTTCTTTAAAGAAATAACTTGATACATAAATTTCAGTTCTTAGCCAGATTTAAAACCTTTTGCCTGACAGTATTCCAGTTATTAATTCATGCATATTTTATTATAACGAAATATGACTTTAAAAGAACTTAGGGGGCATTTTTATGATCACGAGTACTAGGGATACCCTACTGGCCGAGACAAAGTTATGTTGCGTTTATATGAGAAATTATAGTAAACTGCACGAGCTTTTTTAAACTCGATTCCAGTTCACTTTACATTGAACAAAATCCAAGGTGTATGACGCAGACACAGTATTTTTCATGTTCCATAATTTTAATATTCCATAGTTGGCATTGAAGTCAACCGAGTTGCAATCATAAATATTTTTATATTCTTGTGATCCACTTAATAAGGCATCGATCATTTGTGTCGACCAAGACCATTTTTTTAAGTTTGACTTGAACATGCTTTGTTTTTGATCGCCATATTGCTGCAATGTACACATTGTACGCAATGTGCGCATGCTTTATGCAAATCATCTCCTTGTTGCCAGGGCCAGGACGTTTATACGACTACAAACTTAGCACTCCGAATAAGGAAACCCTCTTTCCTAATTAGCGCAACCTTTGCAGTAGGGTTACCCTGTTTAAAGAATGGCTCATTTAAACACTATTTAATAATGTAATGTGTAATTTAAAGTAACTTAGCCCTCCCAATGTGTCTCGAGTGGTGGGGTAACCCTTGTACTCAAAGCCATACAAACGTACGGTGGCCCATAAGGGACACAATACTTCCATGCAAAATATTATGTTTTTAATTGAACATTTAATATTTCCACGCAAAATACTATGTTTTCCATGGAACATTTAATATTTCCGTGCAAAATACTATGTTTTCCATGGAACATTTAATATTTCCGTGCAAAATACTATGTTTTCCATGGAATATTTGTTGCTTCGCCGTACAATATTGCTTGTTCTCCGTGCAACGTTCAAACTTGTGCGCGCGCATATTAAGATCTAGAAATGGATAAAAAACATTGTGATCGAAACCATCGAATCGAAGAATCGAACCAATATGGCAGCTTGTAAACATTGCTTAGTGGAGTTTCCTTGTCAAGTTCACATTACGTTTTGTCCTTCATGTGGAACTACACAAACGGGTAAGATATTTCTTAAATACTAAATTCTGTTTGTTATTCACATGTGGCCTTAAATGAGATATAATTTTGTTAACAACAGAGAATGAACGAGAAATTATTGAAAACTATTTTCATGCTGGATATAAATACGACCTCATTGTTTGTTTGCTGATGAAGAAACATGGTATTGAAATGACTGTTCGTACTCTCAAAAGAGGTTTGAAATCATATCATTTGTCTCGTCGAAATGAAAACATATCTGAGGACAATGTGAAAACCCTTCTCAGGCAAGAAATGCAAGCTGCTGGAGTTCATTAGCCGGTTATCGGATGATGTGGCACATTCTTCGAATTAAACATCATGTGCACGTTCCCCGGAAACTTGTTGCGACAATTCTAAGACAACTTGACCCAGAGGCAAGTATTAGAAGAAGAAGGAAAAGGCTTCAAAGGCGTCAGTATATTTCTCAAGGTCCAAATCAGTGCTGGCATATTGATGGTATGTTTTTTCATGTAAAATTTGTTTATATATCTACTTCAGTGACAAAATTTAGCATATGAATTATAATTGACTACCAACAGGATATGATAAATTGAAGCCATTTGGTTTTCCTATCCATGGTGCTGTTGATGGCTTCAGGCGGAAGGTTTTATGGTTGGAATTGGTAAAGTCAAACAATGCTCCTGAATCAGTTGCACAGCTCTACTTGGATGCTGCCAGAAGATACAGAGGTTGTCCACTTCAAATAAGATCTGATTGTGGTACTGAAAATGGTGTGATTGCTGCTGCTCAATGCTACTTTCGAGCCAATGATAGTCGGCCAATGGAAGGAGAACAAGCTCATACATTCGGGACATCTACCCATAATCAGAGAATTGAAAACTGGTGGTCACATCTTAAAAAGTCATGTACAAGTTGGTGGATCCAGTTTTTTAAGACTTTGTTCAGCAAAGGCAGCTGAACTTGTGTGATGACAATGTTAAACAATGTTTATGGTTTGCCTTTAATGGAGTTGTTCAAAGTTCTCTTGATGAAGTGCAATTATATTGGAATACACATCATATAAGACCGTCAAGACATGAAACTGTCTCTGGAGAACCTGATATATTGTCTTCCATCCCAGAGCAATATGGAGGCATTGATTGTCTAGTCCAAGTCTCTGATGAGAAGCTGCAGGAAGTTGAAATGAGAATTGCACAGCAAGAAACTGAAAATGGGAAAATATTCCAAGACTATTTTAATTACTTAGTGGACATTCAGCAACTAGAGTTTCCAGAAGACTATAATGATGCTGCAAATATTTTTGATAATTTGATGAGTTATGTGTAGTTAATATGCAGTACTTAAGAAATTTGCCAAAAGTATTCTTTTGACAACAGAACAATATCATATGTACATTGAAGGACTTTGTTTTCAAGTTCATATAAAACCAAATCCCGAATACTCCAGTAAGGCATTGTCCATCGATAAGTCAAAATCATTCGTATTATCAAAGTGAATTGCAAAGCAGATAGTTGGGTCGCATGTAGCAGCAGTTGGACGGCATTTACAATTTGCAGGGCAGCCATGCTTAAATTTGACAGTGATGTGCTTTTCTGCTCCCAGTGGTGTTACAGAGTGGCTTCCAGTGATGAATCTGTACAGCGTTTTTAATGATGTGCTGGTGTCTATAAAGGAAAAGTGTTTAAGATAGTCAAAAGCCATTAAAGTAGGTACAATTGCATTTATCTCTCATTCACCTTTTTTGTCCAATTCTTGAATATAGTCACAAAAAAATTTGTGGACGTTTATTTCCAATTACTTTTTGTTGCTTCCTTCCGAGCTAAACTCTACAGTTATATTTTCAACAACAATGTCTGCAGTCAAGCAAAAATTAGCAACACCATCCAGTGTAAGCATTGATGCCATTATCTCCCGGTGATGTTGAATTTGCTGCAGAACCCCAAAAAGTGTAAGACCAGTTTTTAATTGGTCCATCATTGCCAGCATATGGCCAATTCCTGCAATTACAATTAACTTACAACAAAAGATATTGATGTGTCAAAAAAGATGAACAATGTAGATTGAACTGTATGTATGAAAACATGACCATGGTTTTATACCGAATAATGTTGTCTCGTGAGGCCAATTTCTCCTTGGAGGGAACACCCCTGTAGCCGATTGATTGCAGAATGTTCATCATGTCATCTGAGCAAAGCAATGTCCTCAGCTCCTCATCACTCTCACATTTAATTAACTGAATGCAATTAAGAATGCTATGGTAATAAGTAGAACAAATGAGAGTTAATTTTTTCTATTCTTTAAGCACAGCTTTGAGATATTTTAAAGTGAAATTTGCTTGCTTTTCTCAACGAGTGCATATTTTTTACCTTATCAATTTCATCTTTGAAATTAGCATCATGAAACAACTCCAACCAGTTGTTGGCCTGTATGCTATTTACCCCTTGAGCCACATAATTAAATACATTCTTTGCCAAGAAGCATGGGGCTGGTCCTCCCTGTGCCAGAGAGGATGATATTAACTCACCAGCAACCATGAAGTCTTCATTTGCTAGCGCTCGTGCACTAAACAGTGGATAACCATTTGCATCAAACAAAGTTGACTTAATGTGTTGTAGGACATCTGTCAATACAATGAAACAGACTGAGCATTAAACAAGGTATAAAAACAAATATTCAAATTACTACATATTGGTTTCTTTGCACAGTTGTACAGTATGAATTGAAAAATATCTTCACTGATTTTCTCACCTGTGAAAAACTCCCTCCTTGGGCCACCACCATCAATAGAAGGTTCACCAGCAAAACAAATTTTAAGATTTCCTCCTTCAGCAAACCATTTTCGTTTCCGTGCATCCACATAATCTGCAAAAGCTAATCGCCTACGAATAGTAACTCTGTTGGTAGACAATCTGTTAACATTGTCCTGAATTAGATGAACCACTTCTTGCATAGTGGCAACAGTTGGCTATCCAAATTCCTCTTCAGCAATGAGTGTGTTTTCCAGGTTATTTTGATCATCATCTGATAACTTGCCAATTGGGTCTATCCACCTTTCTGCACACATGTCTGCAAGAGCCTCTGTGTCTGCACGTGAATAGTATCCAAGACATGTAGGGCATTGATGTTGCAATAGATATTTTTCTATTCCATGCTGAGACAATTGTCCTTGTGACATACTACCAACTTGAGACGTTGAGGTAAATGAACTTTGAGAAGACAAAGAAGAGGATTGGAGTATTTTATTACTTGCATCTTCATTGAAATCCCCACAACCTGTTGTGGCCAATGACTTTGATGTTGAAGGTTGAGACTCATGATACTTCATCGAAATCTCTTCAAGTTCCTTGTCAGAACTTTCATCAGAAATTGAATTTTCAAAATCATCTTCTGTACATAGTCAGAATTACATTTTGGAGTATGGCAGCAACAAATCTTCTTTATATTTTGAAAGCACAAATGGTATGTTGGTCTGGGGTAAATACCTCACAATTGACATGTCATTATACAAAAGAACATATTTGTTATACTTGTTAAATTGTTTATGATGTCTTGAATGTTTATCAATTGCTTTTTCAAGAAGAGCATTTCCATCAACATCTTCATCAACTGCAATTGTTAATGTCCTTGACTTCACCCTTGCCAATACAGCATCTCCATTTTTGTCTTTCACAATGCCAACCTGCACCTTCACCTCTTTGGACAACTTTGCTTTTTTTCCTTTGCTTAAATTTTGATGATCTGTTTTCTACTTTCTTCTTACGAAACTCTTTATATGAAAGGGGCTTTACTCCAATGGTCTTGTTTGGAGGTTTTGAGCCTATTTCTGTGTTTAAAAACATTTTAAAATATATTTTTTAAGAAAATAAT